AAGAAGATGAAATTTTAACCCAAATAAAAATATTACCTCCAATCCATAAATCTTTGTTTTATTTGCAAAAATCCAAAAAAGTACTTGGGTTGGCTGTTTTTTTTTTTTTTTTTGGTTTCCCGTTTGGCATCCGGTGCTTTGCCCCGATTAATCCGGATCGACTCGCATCACGTACCTGGAGATGGTGGGTGAGTGTTCCAACGAAAGATGCTGCGTTCACAAGGTCTCGAACTCGAGACCTTATTTAAGTCGGAACAAACCGTTTACCACTTGATCCAACCCTTTATTGGTAGGGTTGCTTCTTCTTGAAATCAAGTGATTACCCTCTTAGCTCAACAAAATATTTCTCCTTTAAATCCACTTTCAAAAATAAAATTGCACTTCCCGACCTTAATTAACAAAATGCCAAAGGTCTAATCCAACAAAAAGAAACTGTATCAACATGTGGCAAATAAAAAAAAAAAAAAAACTCTCTAATGCAGTGGATTACAGTCAAATATTTCCGATTAATTTTGAAAAATTATGGCCGCTCAATCTGTATGTAGGCACATATTATCATCTTAAAAAATTACTAATTACGATGTAAATAGACATGAACCAATCTAGCAGTCTTGTTGGTGCCCTACCTCTTCTTTTCTTTCGTTTCTTTCTTCTCCATTTCTTCTCAACCAGCCTCCCTTCACCTTGTGGGCGCACCTGAAACTACACTACTGCCTTTTCAGAGTTTTCTAAAAACATTTATTTTATGTAATATTTAATTTCATAATATAATATTCCTAAAGACGGTTGGAGCCAACTAGCATTTCTGCTGAAGTTTCTACTATGTTCTACATGCTAAGACTAAAACCCAGTATAAGCTATTTTAGCATTGGCGAGGGAACTCGTCTCCGACGTCCATCTTTCTCATAATCATCAGCATTCCCTGCAACTAGAGTTGCCCATTGGATTTATCTACTCTACAGGAAAAATTAGTCGATTTATTATCAATTAATTTTAAATTAGATGCGAATCATATGCGAATCATATGTTAAATCTCACATATTTAATTTTTACTTAATATCAAAGTTTAAGTTTTGTTCTTAAACCTAAAATCCACCTAGGCTTTGTTCCTGAAACCAAGATCTGCCTCACATATCGAACATCCACTAGGTGGATCTTTGTTCTGGAACCCAAGATCCTAGATTGGACCTGCACTTGAGACTCCTGTACGTGTGAGAGGCAAATAACCTGAGTTTAGAGTTTAATACAAAAAAAAGCTACCCAACCTATTGCCATTGCATTTGTAAGTTCTTGAATTACTGCCTGCTTATGGAATCCATTGTTAGAACTGACTAATGTTAACTATTTGAACTTAAAATTTATGAAATTTTTATCTTTGAGATTATGGATGGATTTTTTTCTGCCGTATGAGATGGGAATCGTGGATTGAGGGGCAAGATAATTCTCCGAGGTTCGGACATGAAATTTTCAAAAAGCTGAAGGATTTATGGGCTGCGTAGGTTGGGGTCCAAGGATGGGAACCCAACCCATGCACTTAATGTTTACACCCATTTTTGCAAAAAATAAAATAAAATGGTGCCACATGTCATTCATGTTGACATGTATTTCATTGGTTGAAAGTTATTGGTGTAAATCTCTCCATATAAGATTCAGTGGTTATTTCTACAATTGCAGCAAAATGGTTGGCTTGTTGCGAACTTCCAAGAGAATAATTGACAGCATCAACAGAATAAATTATTTGTTTCAGATTTCATGCTGCCGTTGATTTTCAAGATGCTGCCACAGATTTTCAAGCATGCTGCCAAGGAGTGTTTATTGCTATAAGTATGTAGAGAAGAAACAAAGCAAAAAAGACTTGCCTCTCATACAACAAGTTCAACACAATTTTTTTTTATATTCAGATTCATCTCAAGCTCTTTAGTTTAAACTTTACGCATTAGCCTAAATTAGTTTTCAACTTTGGTTTAATGACTTTTTCTTTAGAAATCCTAGAAATTAGTTGCAGTTCTATGAGGAAACAATTCAGTTCACCTTTTGTTGGTTTTGTAATGGTGAGTTTCATTGCCTTTAGTAATATTTCTCTGTAATCGAATTGGTTCTTTTCCTTTCTTGCCTTCCAAGTTTCCTTTAATTTAATCAAATGATGTCAACATTTAATTTCATGTTTAATTTCATTTCTGTTAATTTACATTTCATGCTGCCAATAGATTTTTCATGTTTCCAGTTTTATTTACTTTAATTTAATTTACTTTTTTTGTAATTAGATTTCCTTTTAGAGCGCTATTTCAACCCATTTGTGTATTTAAGATTCATTTAAATTTTCAGTAGTTCGACGATCATTTATTTCCCTTGCAGCCTTAGCTTTTCTTGATTACATTAGTCTGGGGGAATCCTTGGAATCATATCCAAGGCATTTTATCGTATAACCCATTTAGTGCAAAAAATTCATCCCTTGTTTTTATCAATCATCTAATTATTAAGGCACAATTTATGACGTTTTTTCATTAACTCACAAACTGAGTTCTACACAAAGAAAGGGAGGGTCATCAAAGAAATTTTTTTTTGTTTTTAGCAAAGCAAATAGCAAGCTATTTCATCTGCCATGTGTTAAAAGAGATTTTTTTGGAGACAACACTTAGTTTATGCCCGTGATGAAGCTTGTTCCCAAGATGAATGGCCAATATGTACTTCTTGGGCTTACCAATCCATGTTCAACCCCCCGTCTGAAAGACCAGCCCACTAAGCAAAAACCGGGAAGGCTTACTAGTTACAAGCCAGAGATTGATCCTTTTCCAATTTCCAAAGACAAACAGTTGAATCATGTTAAAAATATAATTAATATATTTATTTATGTGTATTAAAAATAAAAATTAATTTTCATTTAATTAACAAGTTAATTAAAGCAATACATATATTATTAGTAAAAAATAAAAATTAACTTTTTTTATTTTTTTATATAATTTAATACAAAAAAATACTTTAATTATATTCTTAATTTGTATCTTCAAAGCACATATTAAACAATCTATTAACTAAATACTAAATAGGCAATCCTTTTGTAGACAATTCCTAACTTTATTGTTATTTTATAGGATTTAAGTTTATAACGAAAAAACTAGACATTCATTAAAGAATCTTCCATATATGATAAAAAATCCGATCCCTTTTTTTAAATTTATTTTTCCAACAAAAGTGATTAGCTGTAAATAGTTCTACAGATTCACAAAGAAGCATGGAAAGCAAAAGAAAAAAGAAAAAAAAAAAGAGGATAAATTAGAAAATGCAAAGTCCTCAAAAAAAAATTCTTAAAGGATAAAAAAACTGCAAAAACCTGCCCTCACAAAATTGTTGTATGTATGTACAAAAAAACTGTACAGTAAACAGCTAACAAGAGGACGGTTAACAGTTAGTTGATAAATTGTTAACTGTGAGAGAAACATAATTAATGAAATATTAATAATTAATTAATAAATATTATAAATTAATATTAAATAAAATTTAATTTTTTTTTTCATAAAAATAAAAAATTATAAATAAATATGTAAGGTAAGAAATTAAACCTACGCATTTACATGAAAATGACTTTTTACCCATTACAGAGTGACAAGGCACGCTCCTCAAGACATCGTTTCCAGGGGGCCCCACATTCCTACGGTGGGCCGTTAATCCAACAGGAAATTACCACCTGTTACCCCTAATCATTGCCGCTATCACCTCACGTGGCCATCCCTAGTTGGACTGTCGGTTCGCTGTCGGAAACCCACCAGTGACCCCACCGTCAACCCTCTAGCTGTACCACCGCATCAGAGCCAGCCAGCCAGCCAGCCAGCCAGCCAAACGGCAACCAAATCGATAACGCGTAAATAAAACCCCTTATTTTATACAAAAGTTCTGCTTTAAAGGTGTAAATTAAAGTTTATTTATTAAGATATTTTAAATTAATTTTATATAAATTTTTATATTAAATTTATATTATTTTATTTTATTTTATTAAAATTTTAGGTAATATTAATTATAAATAATATAATTAATAAAATTTAACTAACAATTTAAATAGTTTAGTAATAATCACATTTTATTAAAAATAAAAAATTTTATATTTAAATCATATGATATATAAGTGAAATAAAATGAGAAATAAAAAAAATTATCTTGCTTGTTGTGCAATCATAGTAAAAATTATATTTTAAAAAAATAAATTAAAGAATCTCTAATAAAAATAAAGATATAACCTTTTTAAAAAATTTAACTAGAGGTATAACTTTTTTTTTTCTTACTCATGAAGGCTAATACTTTTCAAAATAAAGATATAAATTTTATGATTTTGTTAAAGGGAGACTACCTAGCTATGGACGAATCATATTCTTGATTAAAATTTTTTTAAAATTAATATTTTTAATTAGTAAAATTAAAAATATTATATTTTAATCAAAATAAAAATTAAGACTTTTATAAAATTATAAATAATAATTTTAATAAATTTTGTTTACATGTTGATTTAATAAATATATTTATTTTTTTATTATCATTTTTAACGTTTAAATTGATAATATAATAATCTCATGTCGTCGTTTAAAAAAGTTTTGTAAAATTATGTCCGGTACGAAATTTTCCCAAACTAAAGTAATTAGTGACGTGTAAGCACATCACATGCATTGATTTAGGACAAGTGGAGCCCAGCCAGCCCAGATTACACTGTCTCTTTTGTTTAGATGCTTCTTAGTGGGCCCCAAGGATTTTCGTTTTACCATCCAACGGCTAATCCTGCCCCATGTGATGGTGGTCCCCACCCCCCCACTCGTACTCGGCGGCCCAGATCTGTCATTGTCCAAACCCGTCCGTTATGAATGCTTTGCTATTTATGCTCTCTCTGCAACTATTCTGCTCCCATCATCAATCTTGAGTTCCAGATTTTGTCGAGCTAAGAAATCTAAAGAAAATGGATCTCAAGGGCGCATTTACAGTCGCATTGATCTGCATTGTCGTTGCCGGTGTCGGTGGCCAAGCTCCGGCTGCGGCTCCAACTAAAACTCCGGTGGCAGCTACCACACCGGCTGTAACTCCGGCGGCAGCTACCACACCGGCTGCGGCTCCTGCTAAGCCAAAATCACCAGCTCCCGCCACTACTCCTGCTTCATCACCACCAGCTGTTTCGTCACCGCCAGCTTCTGCTCCGACTCCTGCAAAGACTACGGTTCCAGCCCCGGCGTCTTCTCCACCAGCTGCTACACCAACGGCCTCATCTCCTGCTACTACTCCGGTGAGTTCTCCTCCGGCTCCGGTTCCTGTGAGCTCTCCACCTGCGAAATCTCCTCCTGCTCCTGCACCGACAACTCCTCCAGAGAGCTCTCCGGTTGCTCCGGTTGTAGCACCGAGTGCTGAGGTTCCAGCACCGACTCCGACCAAGAAGAAGTCAAAGAAGAAAAGTAGTGCACCTGCTCCTTCCCCTGCTTTGCTTGGACCTCCTGCTCCACCGACAGGAGCTCCTGGTCCCAGTGAAGACGCTTCTACTCCTGGTCCTTCTGTGGCTGCCGATGAGGTACGTTTTCACATCAATCCTTGGTTTATTTTTGTATTTTGTGTTCCTATAATGCTCCGTACTCCATAGTGCGCAAATGCGCCTTTTAGATCTAGAAATTCTAGGAGAGATTGTGCTTCATTTTTTGGTAAATCTTTGGAATGTGAATATTGAGGCGCATATGTTCGACGTGACGCGCCACTGTGAACGGTCAACTGCGCGCCTATTCGCAGATATATATCTTCCCGTCTTCCACCGACAACTTAGATTTAGGTGCTCCCACGCGCCGCCGGTGATGGCGTGCGTTAGTGGGACAGATATTAGAAGGGACAAACATATCTCAATTTGATCTTTACGAATCACAATTTATCGAAACCCAATGCCCACTCATTGAAAATTGAATTATTAAAGTCAATGTCGGATTGTACTCACATGATGCATGCCTTAGCAACAATTTCTTTTTAGTAAAAAAAAAGGTATTTAATACAAACGATTTTGTGGATAAAGGGCAAGGAGTTCGATTGATTTTGTTTATTTGATTTTTTTTAAAGCAAAATTTTAAGTTCTTTTTAAATAAGATTTTAAGTTTAAATTTTGTTAATGAAAAAATAAAAGTTGAGAAAACTTTTTTTTTAATGAGATTCAGTTCGATGTGATTTTATTTTAAATTAATTAAATTAATCAAATTTAATATGATAATCAGATATAAGGAGATTAATAAAAAAATATTTAATAATAATTTTGGTTAAAGAAAAATGTAAAAGAGGGGGTAATGAGAGTTTTTTTACTAATCAAATTAAATTGTAATATTTTTTTTTAAAAATCTTACTATTTTGTTTCTTCGAACTAAATATATTTTGAAAAGTACTATAGTGATATATATTTGCTGAAATTTTGAATTGTTGTGGGGGCAAATTTACAGAGTGGAGCAGAAACGATGAGGAATGTGCAGAAGCTGGTGGGAGGCTTGGCATTGGGATGGGCTGCTGCCATGGCTTTGATCTTCTAGAGAGATCTGTATCACTGTTATTTTTATTATTCCATTTTATTTCGGCATATTTTTTTTAATTAATATTTAAATTTATTGCTGCCAATTGTTTGGTTACTGCTGTGGTTTTATCCATCTTGAGATTTTACCACATCGATCTTCGGTGCATGTATTCTTTTGGTGAAGGTTGAGACTTAAGAACAGGACAGTGAGATTTTTCCTATTCCCCCTTCTTTATTTATTCCCTTTGGATTCTTGTAGGATGCCTCTCCTTTACTATTATTGTCATCTTTCATCTTTCATTTTTATATTCATTCATCTTTTGTTTATAATTAATAAATATCATCTTAGCATTTAAATATTCCTTCATATTGATGATTAATTAAGGTAGATCTTGTCTGTCCGCTTGTTTTTTTTTTAATTATACAATGAGAAATAACTATTTTTTATTTTTTATCTTACTTGATTCGATTCGTATACTATACGATTTGAACTTATAATCTTTTGTTTACAGGGGAATGAGATGATTCCTTAATTATTTAGGTGATTGACTGTTTGTTTGTTTATTTTGTTTATTTGGATGGACTCAAAAGGAAACAACCAAGATGTTGACAGACGTTAAGTTAATTACTATAGTCCTTTATTGGTGAGGCAATTATATGGTACTATTAGAGTTGCTTTGATTTGGTTGATTTTATTATTTATAGTATTGTTATAAATACTTTGTTAGAGTGTTTTGAAATATTAATTTATAAGTTAATTTTAAATTATTAACTAGTAAATATCACTTATTTTATTAATTATAAAATAACAATTATAATTATTAGTTGTTTTTAATGATTAGATCTAACAAACGTGTATTTTTAAACTAAGGGAAAAGCACAGGGACGATGGGAAAAGGGAAATGGGTGACTTCTTTCAATATCAATACTAGTAGTCTGAAATTTTAGTAGGTAAAACATTAATTTCATTAAAAGTGTTTGACTTAATACTGTCGAATGCTAGCATAATTCAAGCAGTCAACTGTCATGTGATACATAATTAAGCTACGTATTCATTTATTTGGTATTTGATTGCTCACGCTACCAAGAGACGCAATTTCACGCAGCATGTCTCATTCGAACTTCCATGTCACCTTCTGAAAGTTGAGATCATACAATGTTATAAGTAGTAAAGGAATTTGTATGTAGTACGCTTTGTCCCCCCTGCATCTGCAAGTCAAAATTTGCGAGGAATATT